AATGTATAAAAAAAATTGCAGGGGGGGAGGGAGGTGGGTGGGTAGTTCAAAAAAACGAAAAAAATAGAAAATAATAATAATAATTTTTTAATTTTTTTGCGGGGGTGGGTGGTGGTTGGAGTAGGTGAGTGGCGCAGAAAAACGATAAAAACAGAAAATTAAAGTTGGAGGGGGTTGGGATTAGATGTGAGGGTAGGTGGAGTTTTTGAAAAATATTTTCCTAACTTTTTCTAGGGAAGTTATTTTCCTCCAATTTCAAGAAAATGTGATATCTAGGAAAATATTTTCCAAACTATAACAGTGAAAAATGGGATAACATATGATTTCCATCGTACCAAACACACCTTAAGTAACCTATCAAATATCTTAAAGATTGGTGGGGTACGTACTAAACATCTATGGAGAGCCACATGTAGGGGTGCTTATCGGCGAATAATTACGCTTAACGATTTGGCTTATCGGTAATCGGATTATAAATATAGTAATCTGCTAGCCATCCAATAAGATAACGGGCGGATTGATATCAGATTAACGATTATCGGGCGGTTATCGCCAAACCAAATAAAATTATTTGGAACAATCAATACCAAACGGCCAAATGCACAGTTCAAACTGTCTCCGTTAGTTTTTGAACAATAAATATCATTAGCATTATTATCCACAAAACAATTAGAAAACCCCACTTACACACAAACTTCAAACTCTAATTGTAAGTGAAGTAATGAAACAAACCCCCGCTTAAGTAAAATGTCCCAGAGAGGAATTCAATTCATGTCCACTCATAATTCATGAGAAGCTAGAGATGACTCCATTAGTTACAGACAGTTCTATTATTTTATGTACACCTACTTATGCAACAATATAGTAACAAGTTTATATACATAGGGGGAAAAGTGTAAAATAAAAATTCTTAACGGGTTAACGGTTTACCCGAGTAATACGTCCCCAAACTGTTAAGCCATTAATTATAAAATCTCAATCCATTCACCATCCAATACCCCGATAATCTAATACCATAAACCAATAAACCATCGACTCGATTCGCTTAACGTTTCAGTTCGATTTTGAACGATCCTAGTCACATGCCTTAACTGCAATTTGTGTAGTTTATCTATCGGGAATTGAAGAACAAGATGATGAATACCATTCCGAGAGAGGAAATATATCAAGTTGTCAATCTTAGGGCAGTTGATAAGATCAACGATGGAGAGGATAAACTTAGAAATATGTCCTACATGAAGGGTCAAAAGTTGATAGATAATGGCAGTAATTTTAATAGTAGGGAGTATTAAGTAATTTGTTGTTTCCCAAAGCGTTTGATCAAGTTTCAGATGTGGATGTCTGCACCATTTATATTTTCAATTCCTCGATAAGATACTTGTCCTTACAGCATCTCATAAAGGCAAGCGCAAAAGAATGTCATCGATTACATTCTCAGGAAGATTGGCAAGTACATTGGGAGGTAAACTTTGCTTTTTGCCATTAGGGGGCATCGTATTTGTAAGAACAGCCAGTAGAATATGCAGAATAAAAAAACAAGAACACGAAAGGTAAAGAATCTCCAAACTGTCTAGACAGAGCTATTCACATTGTTAAATTAACATGCCACAGCTGTAAAAATAAATTGGAGTTGTTAGAAATCACTGATTTGTATTGTTAATGGAAATCACTGATTTGTTTCCTCTTAATATATGGACTTAATTACAAAGAATTTGTATTCAAACGGGGAACTAACTAAACAGAAACGAGGATCACATTGCTTTTGCGGCTAAAAAGCTTATCAGCACAAATCAACAGCCACAAGAAAAAGAGAAAAAGTCCAATATTTGGCCGGATGCGACATCAAATTAGTAGTTTCCTTACCTTTTTATTTTTATTCTATGTATTAATAGCTTCAGTACTAAAACTTGCATAGCCTAATGAAACGAAAGAGTTCACTAGATACCACTTTAATACTTCCTTCAACACCTAAATATTGTTCTTTCTTTTTACAACTTAAAGTTTTTACTTATTACCAAAAGTGGGGGCTTCCTATGAAGTTGTAGCTATTGTTAGATCTTTTAACGATGAATAAAATAGTAGTAAGAAAGAGAGGATAACAGTATAGAATTAAACAGAGTAGTAGCGTTATATAGTGATAATAGTAACGACAATGCAAGTCGATAATGACAGTAATAAAAGCAAATAAAATGAGGCATAAATTTAATGCCGGTCGGGAGGTTCCATCAAATTCAGTAGCTTTTGCTCCAACAAAATATTTGCGTTATGAAAGTAATTAGTTACGTACAAATATTAAATTCAAAAACTAGTAATTAGCACTTGAAATCATCATTCTAAGATTCTAAACCCATAAAGTTTAAATCTATCTCCGCCTCGAGTAACCTGTGTCCACAAGCGGAAAGAAATAATTTTACTATACCAACAAGAATGCCAATGAAAGTACAAATTAGAAATACTACTCTAATCAACCAGAAATATCCTGAAAGAATAACCTTACAGGACACTCTAAAAAAGGATTCACACAAGTATTCCCCAATCGCACTCTCTCACAAAATACTCTTAATTAATAAAGGAAGAGAAAAAGATACATGAGATGAATTCTCAAATCTTGCTGGCGCATTTCTGACGTGAGAAGTGCTGCCCTTTTATAGGGAAATTTCACAAGTTTCATTGGCCACCAAAACAGATTACCAAAACAAGACATGTTACTAAAACTGGTCATATGACCAAAAAAATTATCAAAGCAAGGCCACATATCAATTTAAATGCCATAAGTGAGTAGCTGCATGAATATTAGAATTTTGTTTGGTGTTTAAAAAGTTCTGTTTGAATATTACATATAAGTAACAATGAAGAATTTTTCTCTCTTAGTTTTGCTTGGATTTAAGTAAATTATAAGAAAACAAATAACGAAATTGAAATCAAATAAGAGTCGGGCAAATTAGG